GGAAGAGAGAGAAAGAGAGGGCTGGACGTTTTCCAAGGATTATGGGATTGTTCTGTACTCTTCCATGAGCCTATTGCTGTATATATAGAGCTACAGTAGGGACCCTAAGGAGAATAGGATAAGGGCTTCTAATATATTAATACTGTGGAGCAACCCCACAATTAATATATTAATAATATTAAAGTCCACCACAATAATATTATTGCACTCCCTTCACCTATCCCAAATTACATTTGAGACTCCTTATTATAATTATCCGATTTACCTCCCCATGTTTAAGATTAATGTCCATTAATTAATTCGATCACTAATAATCAAGAACTAATTAATATATTATATTACCGAAGCTAGCGCTCGCTCATAGCATTCATATTATGCCGGAATAAATCCACCTGCAGGGTTTAGCATAATATTCCTTCATGAACTCACTTTGGGGACATCATCACACTAACGCACATGGTGACCGTAAATATCCTAATAGCACATCGAACACATAATGTTATTACCCAATTCATTAAGTATGTCGATCCGGCTTGGATCTCACCCAAAGAATCAAAGCAACAACAATTATGTGCACATGCCTATTTAATATCTTACGGGTTAAGAGCACGCAATAATTAACTGAGGCCTAGTTCGTTTACGACGATTAGTATAAAACGAACATCCCTCTCTGGGATCCTGTTCAATACATAAATGTACTAGCGCAACTAATCGGTCAAGACAAACCGTGCGGTTGACACTACAACCATTCCGATGGGTTGTTCAATTCCATCTAGGTTGTGAACCAATGATTCTTGTTTCGCAAGTAACTGATATAGTGATCTTCGGTACGCCCGATGACGACCCACTTATCTACATGCAAAACAACAGAACGTGGAACTTATTTAACCAAACATAATTCTCATTCATCAAGGAATAACAAGTGTAATATCCACTAAAGCAAAGCTTAAGTATATAACACCAACAGGGGGATGAGGGGAAAATGGAAGGAAGGGTCAGAAGGGGTCGAACTAGTGAGAGATGGAGAGGCTCAGGCTCAGACAGTGAGGTAGGGTAAGGGAAGGGCTCTAAGATCATGAGAGCTGAGGAGGAAAAGGGAGCCTCAATGCACAATGGGATAGAAGAAGACTCTATCTCATCTACTAATTGGTCATCATCATCAAAAGAGGAGCGGGTCGATACTCCTAAATGATCGGAGAAAGTGTGAAAATCCTCCTCTGACTTCGAGTCAAGAACAGAGAAACGAGAATGGGTAGCTATGAAAGCTGACTGGAAGGATTGGTGGGGGAAAAGGCCTGTGGCTTTGGCCTTAGGCCTATCCAGGTTAGCCTCATTGGGCTGTGTGCCCTCAAAGGTGACCTTGCCCTTGCCCTTTTGTCCCTTCGGATCGGGACCGTGGGCCGGGGCCTTGCCCTTCTCCTTAGGGCTCCTCGGGGTGATATTAGGACCCTGTCTCGCTACACGTCGACGGAGGGGCAAAGCAGGTCGGGGCTTGTTTCCCTTGGTGTAACATTCTGCAGCCCCATGTCCTACATGACTGCATAGGGTACAAAATGGGGGGACTCTCTTGTAGACCACTTTCTGGATAGTGGTCTTACCCGCTTGGTCTAGCTCGATCTCCTTGATGAGCTCGTCCCTGAGGTCAATCTCCACACACACCCGTGCAACAGATAGCCTCGAGTGGTTTGCTGTAGCGGCATCAGTCTCAATAGGATTGCCAATGCAGCTGGCAATCGAAAAGATAGCATAAGGGTCGAAAAGATGTGGTAGGAGGCTTGGGAGGCTGCACCACACCGGAACGATAGGAGATTCCTCAAGAAAAGAGAAATCAGGTGTGTATTTGAACACCCGACCAGACCATCCGAAGATATTAGGATGCGTCTTAATCCAAACCGAATTGTAGTCCCCTTTCAATTCAAATAAGAGTAGATAGTGATTATAATTAAGGAACTTAGGGGACACTCTACTCTTGAACCCTAATTTGACCAGACCGACAGATAAGTCCCAGAGGTAAGGAACAGTGAAGGAAAACTTCAATATGAGAGCATTATCAAACGACCCAGCTAGGGAAATAACAGTGGGCTCAAGAAAGCTTACCTTGAACCTGCCCTCCTCGGAGCAGATGACGGTGCCGCTCTGTTTGTCCCGAAAGGACTCCAACATGAGTCTCTGATGTCTCGGTTTGACGGTGGAAATACCGGATACCGCGTCCCGAAAGGATCGTGTTTCCGAAAGGCGGGAGCTTTGGTTCGCCGTATGGGGAAGGGGGGTGGCCGGGCTCGGTTCTTGAGCAAAGTTGCTTCTTGGCGGCTGCTCGTTGAATTCCATATAGTTGACAAACATGGTAGCCTCCGGTGGTGGGAAATTTGTCGGCGAGGGGCCGGGGCCATGCCCTAAATTTCCAGCCGTCGACGAGGCGGATGAGCCATTGTTAATGAATGTCGAAGAGAAGTGTCTGAGTCCGGTGGCAGCAGAGGTCTGGCCGGGTTGGGAGGGCTCCGACGGGGTGACAGTCGGCATACCGTGAAGTGCGCCCGTGAGAAAGGGTGCCATCGAGATAAGAGGATCGTCCGTCTGAGGGTCGCCTTCGCCGGCGCTGGAGCCGGCAGGTGGATCGTCGGCCGGCAGCAGAGTGGCTGAGGTAGCGGCCGTCAAAAGGGTGGAGGTGGCTCGGTGGTCATGCTGGGTGAGAGAAGACGAAAGTGTGTGGTAGGTGTTGGGCTTGGAGAAATGGGGCTGGGTTTTGGGTTATAGAGTGGGTTAGAGATATAGGGAGGGAGGAAACTTGGGCCATGAGGGGCGGCCCATAGGAGATATCTGGATCTGAATTGGGCCTGGGCAATGGCCCAATTGGATGGCCCAAATAGGGTTGAGCTGAGGGATAAGGGGGTTAGGAAAAGATAAGGTTAGGGGATTGGGGAAGAGAACCTGCCGCCGTGGGAGGAGCTGAAGATGGCGGAGGAGGAAAGTCACTCGTCGGGACAACTCTGAATTGAAGTGGGCATGTGTTTCCATCGACGGAGCCGGACTGTGGGGCCGAGCCGGAGGCTTGCTGGCACGATGGGTGGCACGACGGCGGACCTCCTGTGCTCGAAAGGTGTAGCTTCTCAGACGGAAGAAAAACTGATTGCGGATTTCTTGAATTTGTTGGACCAGGAAGAGAGTCTCCCACGAAGGTCGCCAGAAGTCGAGAGAAAGTGTTTGGGAAAGTCTGCCATGAACGGCTGGTGCTTGGAGAAAAAAGCCATGGAGATATAGGGGTGTGAGGAGGAGACATGCGCAGGTTCCATTGCTCCGGCCAGCTTTCCGCCGGCGACGCCGGACGCTGGCAAGGGGCTAGGAGGTGGCCGGAAAATAAGGAGTAAATTGGAGGGGAAAGGATAGGGTTTTTAGAGTGAGAAAATAAGAGAGATGGGGGAGCATTTTTTCGGTTTGATAGTTTCATTATATTCATTAAATAAAATATGTTGCATAAAGAGAAGTGTTTAATAATATATAATTTTTCATTGTTTTTATTTATTTTAATTTTGTAATGAGATGAGATGTTTTTTTTTTTTTTCATAGTAATGAGATGAGATGTGAAAAATATAACCAACTATATTTAAAATAAAACCTAAAAAAAATTTAAAATATAAGCTCATCCGTGCATCGCATCCTAGTGAAATACAATATACATAACTACTTATGTAATGAACTCCTTGTCAATACCTACATAGCATTGGGTTATAATATACACAAATGAATATATTTACAATATAACTCATTTTTATCCGGAGCAAAACAGGCCAAGTCAAAATAATTATTAAATCAATGAAATAATTTCCCCTCATTTTTGCAGAAGTCCCAAATAATTTTGTACGAAAGCCACCACTTTTAAGAGCGCGCGACAATCAAGAAAATTTTCAAGTGCCCTCAATTTGTTCCCCCACACGCGTGTTTTGGTTTCACTCTCTGTGGCAGATTCAGTGAAAAATCCCTTGCTATTGGAGCTGAAAAAGCTCTACAACAATGGCGGACGATACCTCAACTCCCCCTAAAAGAGGATCCATAAAATCATCAGGCAATTTAACTCTCATCTGTGTCTCTATCCGTCTTTCACTGTGTATGCAGCTGCGTGTCTGTAAATTTCAATCCGATTATCGTTTCGTATGTTTGTGGGATTTTATTAATTTGTTTACTGCTCGATAGACAAGGAGCCATGTTGATTGTTAATTCAACGCCTTCTCATTTTGGAGCAATAATAATGGTAGAAGTAGAAAGTAGCCCTTTTTTTTTCTGTTCTTTTCTCATTGGTTTCTGCTAAGGTTAGTGTCGGAGGGAGGTGAGGTGTTGGCGGGGTTGAGCTGTTTTTCGTTTTCTCTCTCTCAGTCAATGTTATTCCTTCCATTTGTTAGGTTGTTTCTGAAGTTGAATTAACTTAGCTATTCTCTATTCTAGTTTTTCAATCATTATATTGATTGAAATTGTGTCTGCTGGTAATTTTTAGTTGGAAGTGTTGCGGTTCAGAGGAGACGGGAAAATGCGGTTATGGTGGGGAAGGAAAGAAGGGAAGCATTGGTGCGGACCAAGCGTCTGTGCAGAGTTGGAGTTAGCAGTGAGAATAATGTCGATTTTCCTGCTGTTGATGAAATGATGACCGATGAAGAACAATCAGTTCTCGAGGCTCAAACTTTGAAAGCCGTGCAAGAATTAAAGGACGTCTTCGGATATCAGTATGGCAATTTTGCATTTTTTTCCTTGAGCACCTGGAGTCAAAGTACATGTAACATGCTAGTTGAATAAAATTATTTATTAGCTAAGGCTGCAATTGTTACTTTAGTATTAGCCAAGGCTGAATTTGCATTTTTTATTAGCCAAGGCTGCAATTGTTACTTTAGTATAACTAAGGCTGAATTTGCATTTGTTTATTAGCTAAGGCTGCAATTGTTAGTATTAACTAAGGCTGAATTTTTGCATTTATTTATTAGCTAAGGCTGCAATTGTTTCTTTAGTATCAACCAGAGTTTGCTATGGTTAAGTCTAACTTGTTAATGTAAAAAATACTGTGGTTTCTGATATGATGATTTGCTGTAAAAGTTCACTTATGTTGAATTTACTGTCCCCAGGGGAAAAGGAGCATTGCAGAAAAGAGTTAATGCTCTTCGTGAGTTAAGGCGGTTGTTGTCGAAGTCTGAATATCCTCCAGTTGAAGCTGCCCTTGAGGCTGGAGCAATGCCTGCCCTTGTTCAATGTCTTTCATTCGGCTCACCAGATGAACAGGTTTTGGTTTGAGAGCCTGTAGATTTTGTCTACTTCTGATCATATATCATTACATTTTCTTCGACATTATCTTATATCACCCTATACGTAATTTTTAGTTACTCGAGGCGGCTTGGTGCCTCACAAATATAGCTGCTGGGAAGCCGGAAGAAACAAAAGCGTTGTTGCCTGCATTACCGTTACTCATTGCTCATATAGGAGGTTGGTATTCTGTAGGTGCTATCTTCCGTGGGTGGTAATTTGTGTATTTCTTGATTAACATCAGAAAAGCATTTGACCTGGACTCAATGCATACTGATGGGACTAGCAATTGTTAATTATCTAATCACCATTTTCTCTAGTTAACAGGAAGAATTTAATGGTCTCTAATCTAGTTTATCATTGTTAGGACACCATATACATGTGCATTTTCTTTTAATCTCCCTCTCAAGATTTTCGAACAAAAAATCTATCCCATTTCCAACCAAACCTACTGGAAAAGGAGAACATAACGGAATAAACTAGGAAAACTAGCTTCAACATATCTCTCTCTCTCTCTCTCTCTCACACACACACACACACACACACACAAGCATTGTGTTTGAGTGAAACTGTGAAGCTGTTGCCAGGAACACACATCAATCCTGTGGCCTATCAATAAAATCATGCTGTCTCTATTAACATGATACTACTTTATTAAAAGTTAAGGCTCAAATTCAACCATTTTACAATAATTTCTGCCTTTAGCATTGAGAAATTTTCTAGATGAGCATGCTCTCTCATGATTTTTTATACTTCTGATGACATTTTTTCAAGAATTTAATAAAACTTTTATTGTAATTCGCAGAAAAGAGCTCACTGCCTATTGCAGAGCAATGTGCATGGGCATTGGGAAATGTTGCTGGTGAAGGAGACGAATTAAGAAGTGTTCTGCTATCTCAAGGAGCTTTGCAACCTCTTGCGAGGATGATGCTACCGAACAAGGGTTCCACTGTGAGAACAGCTGCTTGGGCATTATCAAACTTAATTAAGGTGTTGGGAAGAAACCCTTTTCATTTTTTTCCATAGTCTCCTTGTTTTAAAGACCGAGTTCATTATTTCTGTGAGATGTGTAACATAGTATTATATTTATGGCTATATAGGGACCAGACCCAAAAGCTGCCACAGAATTAATAAGAATTGACGGTGTTCTTGACGCGATTCTCCGACACATGAAGAGAGGGTGAGTAAGAAGTTAATTTTCCGCATTCATTTAATTATATCTACTGAAAATAGTATCTTAGGCTATAGTCTTATTCTAGCCAATTCCTTTCTGTTGAATCGAATGATTCAGAATGCTGGTTCTTTCACTTTAAATTCTAACAGGGTAAATTCACTTTAATAATTGCTTACACCACCTGCTTTCGTACAACCCACTTTGATTTTTTTGTTCGCTTGTTTAATCAGTGATGAAGAGCTGGCAACTGAAATGGGATGGGTAGTTGTGTATCTCACTTCACTTTCAGATGTGGCTACCAGCATGCTGGCAAAAAGCGATCTGCTGCAAATACTTATAGATAGACTATCATCATCAAACAGCTTGCAGCTACTTATCCCGGTATATACTCGTACAAGATTTTACTTGAAACAAGTTTTTTCAATCTTCTGTACATTTATCGGCTAGTTGCTTTGTATCTGTACATTGCATTTATATCATAATTTTTTTATGCTCTTTGGTGACGGTTCTTATCAGGTGTTACGGAGTTTGGGTAATCTTGTGGCTGGTGATTCTTATGTAACTAATAATATCCTCGTCGCTGGACATGAGACCACAGGCTAGTTCCACTTTTCTTCTCCTTTTTATTTTCATTTTATTTGATTTCCATTCCTTCTCTCTTTTTTGCTGCATGTGTACCGAGCAAAGATATCTTACAGTAAACACTTCATAACGTCTATTCCCCCACAGTAAATGTGATCCAAGCTCTGATAAAGTGTTTGAAAAGCGAGCACCGCATCTTAAAAAAGGTGCGCCAATTTGTAAATTTTCACAATATTATTACCCTCTTGATTTCTTGCTTACGCATGGATTTGATTATTCTTACATTATTATTTTGTTGTGTGTATGTAATTCTTAGGAATCTGCATGGGTGCTATCTAATGTAGCAGCGGGTACCGTCGAGCATAAAAAGCTAATACACTCAAGTGAAGCTGTGTCAATATTGATACACCTGCTGTTGACTTCACCATTCGACATAAAAAAAGAAGTGGCTTATGTTCTTGGTAACCTCTGTGTGGCCCCTTCGGAAGGTTCCGGAAGGCCGAGTTTGATCGTCGAGCACTTGGTTTCCCTTGTTGGTGGAGGATGTCTCGGTGGCTTTGTTGACTTGGTAAGATCCGTGGACGTAGAGGCTGCTCGACTGGGCCTTCAGTTCTTGGAGCTCGTAAGCACATTTCCATATTGAAAACATTAGCATTTGCGGTCTGATCCAATTGAAAAGGCTCAATTATATGTTAAAAAAGCTTCAACTTTTTTTTTTTTGTTTTTTTTTTTTTTTTTTTAATCTACCGTGGAATATCTCCCCTAATGTTGTAATACATGCTGATGATTTTTTTAGTTTTTATTCCTGCAGACATGAAAGGATTACTTGAATTGTTTTTCTGATTATATGAATTTGAATTTTTTCTTCTTCTATTCCACGAGAAAATTTCATTACACTTTTTCTCCCTTAGGTTCTAAGGGGAATGCCGAATGGAGAGGGACCAAAGCTTGTCGAGGCAGAAGACGGAATAGAAGCCATGGAGAGATTCCAATTTCATGAGAACGAAGATCTTAGAAATATGGCCAACGAGTTAGTCGACAAGTACTTTGGGGAGGATTACGGACTTGATTCATAGAGCAAACTCTCAACTTTTTCTTGCCAAAAACTATGTTTGGATAACTAAAAAAACGCTGGATACTGAGTGTCGATGCGCTTATGTATGTCTTTAGGGAAAACAAACGTCGTCTCGTGTAGACTTTTTTTGTTGGAGACTTGGGAATTTTAAGGTCTGTGTGAAGCATATTTGTAAAAGCAATGGCCACCCAGTGTTGTTTTGGGGTGGCCTTTTGTTTGAATTTCATACATTTTGTTGTTGAAGATTAGGAAATGAGGGTATTTGTATTTAATGTGTCTCTGGATTTGCTGATCTTTTCTTTTATATTTGCTCTATCTTTGTTTTTTCGTTTTGGCTGCAATTCATAGAAAATTATGATGAGTATCAGAAGCAAGAGAAATGTTCACCTACCCACGGTGGTCACATGTTAATATGCACACCGCGTAGGTGACATGCACTCATTGGTGATGTTAATATGTTAAAAAAATACATCACCAATGAGTGCATGCCACCTACGCGGTGTGCATATTAACATGTGCCCACCGTGGGTAGGTGAACATTTCTCTCATAAGCAACGGATATGCCTACCGCGTAGACGACATGCACTCATTGGTGATGTTAATATGTTAAAAAAAAATACATCACCAATGAGTGCATGCCACATACGCGGTGGGCATATATTAACATGTGTCCACTGTGGATAGGTGAGCATTTCTCTCAGAAGCAACGGATTTTACTAAGAGATTAAATAAGAAAAAATGATTGGCAAAAAAATAAAAAAAATAAAAAAAGTTTGTGTTCCGTTGCCGGGAATTGAACCCGGGTCCCCTGGGTGAAAGCCAGATATCCTAACCACTGGACGACAACGGATTGTTGTACATTAACTAGCCTAGGCTATTTTGTACGTTTTCGTACTCTGAAAGTCTTAAACCCGTCAATAAACCCTAAAAAGCTATTATAATTCACACACACTTGAGAGAGATGAGACTTGATCTTTCGCCTTTCACATTCTCACTCGGTCACTCCCAAAACCTTTGTCGATAAACCCTAATTCACAAACACTCGCCATGAATTTACTCGCCAAAGCGAAATTTTCCATTAGAGGCGGCTTTTTACCCTTTCGATCCATCGCCGTACTTCAACATTGGAGTTTATACTGTACCAAAACAGCTCCGTGCAGCTCCATAACCCAACGAGTGGCAGAGAATCTCGGAGTCCAGAAGACCTCCGATTCGAGCCTTCCTCCGACGTTCAAGGAACGGAGAGGTCCGGCGATCGACTGGCCGAGGCCGTTAGAGATTCCATTCCAACCTCGGGTCGCCAACGCCGTGAATTTGATCGGCCACGTGAAAACCCCGGTCCATCTCGAGTCCGGCGCCGATGGGAATCGCGTGGCCTCGGTTTTGATTTTTCAGGATTGTGGCGGCGGGCTTGACACTCTGTTGATCCCCGTTGTGTTCGAAGGCGATTTGGCTCAGGTCGTGGCCCTTCACGTTAAGGAGAAGGATCGTGTTTTTGTTTCGGGGAAGCTGAGAATGGGCCCCACGAGATTCGTCTTCGCCGACGGTTACGGCAAGTTCCATCTCGTGGCCGAGAATCTCAATTTTGTCGAGGGCTATGCGAAAAAGGCTGTTTCATCTGCAAAAATCGAGAAGCCTTTGGTTGGAAAGGCTGAGGAGGTGGTGCAAATTGAGAAGACTTTGGATGGAAACACTGAAGGTGTTGTGAAACAGGTGGACTGGAATGAGGCACTTGAACGTTTCAATGCCAAGAGAGTTTCCGGCGAGAGCAATTGGTGGGTCTCAAGTCCTGTTACTCAGCAGTCGAACAATGAGGTGAACGATTTGAATCGTATCGAGTCTAAGCCTGAAAAGGGTTACGAGAAAATTTTACCGAGTAGTAGCACGAAGAAGAATGAGGACCCGAGCTTGGATTT